ATAAATGACTTTATAAATCATACCCGCAAGACTTGTCTTTCAAACACCCTTTTCGCCGTGTTTCTGGCTATCTTTGCCACGACACACACATACAGCCCTTTTATTTTATTTAGTTCACAGTAATTTAGAGATTCCTGTTAAATGATTTATTTTGACTCTTTTAGAACTTAACGAAAACCTTAAAAACAATATTTCACCACGCTTTCACTTGAAAGTGATGAGGTAGTCTGGATAGGCTTGGTCATCGTGGAAAACAACATACATGCTGGGATTATCCATTCTGTTCACCACACTGTCATAACGATCGTGAGGCTGCTGGCTGTCCCGAACTGGAGGCACGTTCATCCCACTCTGCCCCTGAGTGTAGACGCCAGTCAGAACTCGAGCTACGAACATCTGCTGAGAACCATCAACAGCTGGTTTGGCGTAATAAGCAGAGTAGCTGGCTTTTACAGCAAAGTAGGTTCCATTGCCAAAAGCTGTTGCTGAAGGTAAACAGAAAGAATATTACAGTAAGTAAACTTACATCTAAAAWTAGGTAAATGYTAACACCCAAAATCAGAAAGGGGAAAAAAATAAAACACAGGACAAAGATTTACATTATTATTTGGGTTATTTAGACTTTTCTCATGTCAGAATACGTTTACCAAACATTAAAAAGATTGTATAAAATTATTCTGATATTTTCAGAAATGCCAAGTTGTCTAAATTTTTGAAAATTCTGAAAATGTTTACTAGTGGACAGTTAGTGATTTGCCATCTATGAAACAGAGATAGTGATGAGCTAATTACACTGATTATCAAGGTGAAAGCAAACTATTTACAAAGCCTTTAACAAGTTTCACACTTTTCTCTGATATTTACTCTGCMCTATATATGGAAAACAAACTTGAAAAGGGAAATAYATTTAGGATTCTTACCATTTATCCCAGCAAAGCGTCTGTTGAACCCAGTGTTCATGACTGAGACACAGCTGTCGCCTGTTGTTCCATGGTACAGAGACTTTTCACCTGCTCCTGCTGTCCATTTGTTTTTATCGGACATACGCTTCTTCTGAGCCTCGTAGGATCGACGAAGGTGTATGTTCTGCACACYTTCAATCTAGCAGAAAAAACTATCATAAAACAAATAGCTGGCTAAACTGAACCTAAATATCTTAAAACTGTAGGAAAAGACTGTGAAGTCCACTTCGAGGCTAATAAAAAAAATCAAAGGTTGAGTGATGTTTGGATGTCACTAACCTTGATTATGTGGTTGTTAGCAGTTCCATTAAAGCCCCCCTGRACTGTCTGGTACTCCTGAGAGGAAGGCTTCAGCACAACCATCTTCATGGTCTCATTAGCAGCCATGCTGTCCCAGTACAGAGGGAAAACAAAATCTGAAAAATATATTAAAAGTAYTCAGTCACAAATCATATTTTATCAAGAAAAGAAAGTCAACAATATCTAATTAAAGAAGATTCAGGTGGTTCATTACAGCTTTATCCTGTAGTTGAAGCTTTAACAGTATGCAATTTACAAAAAATATCTTATTTGGTTCCATACATGTTGATCAGATTTTTTTTAATGTGGAACTTCTGTAGAGCTCCTCTCACCTGGRAAATTTTCAAGTCGTTTCAGTTTTGTTCTCTGTCCAGTTACAGATGTTGTGGCCTTCATGTTCTGTAGATCCACCTGCCACTGGACTCCCTGYGCATCCTGTATTCCTCCTGCTATTTCCCCTTTTTCCAAGTTGAGATTGGCTGTTTTGGGAAGTCTTTCCCAGTTTCCATTTTGTTCCAGGATGCACCACATCACACGTGTGTACAGCTCGTCCTCCTCCTTGAGTCTCACCTTTTCTATGAGCTTGCCAGTATTAATTAAAACAATAACTTTGTTGACTCCATCCTTTATACCCTTCACAGTTAGATTGCCAATTATGTCCTTTTGCATATAAAGCCCCTCACTCTCCACCAGCTGCTGTAAGTCCAACATGGTTTCCTTAGTTATGTCCTCCACTTCCTCCTTTCTGAAGGTGTGAGAAGAGCACTGTGTCTTATACAGATCCTTCAGTTTTTCCATGGCTTCGTCCACATCTTCTCTGCAAAGACCCAGGAACTGGAAGGCGGACTGCTTATCTGTGGTCCCAGTATTAAGAAAGCTTCGATCTGCAGTCAGAGATGGCTGCTGTTGAATCTGAGGCTTCAGAGYAACAGTCACTGTGATGAAAAATTAATAAATTATTTTTACGTTATTTTGTACAGAATTCTCGTATTTTCTAAAATACACACACGGGTGGGTCTAAAAACTTGTTTCACTTTGTCTGAAAGGCTTGTTTCCTTGAAGGGCCTTTAGAAGATCGATAAGAATTTTAGTCAGCATGTAAAACTACATTAGCAGAGTTTGGGAATAAAAATATAAAATGGGCATTATAGATCTCTCTTGAGCAACCATTTCTCCTTCCTGTAACACCACTGCTTCCACTCACGTGATATATTKTCAAACRTCAACTCCTTCACTGGTTAYCTTTCCATTTCCCAGTAAATGCTCATATAAAAATAAACCAGATACTTCCTCTTTGAAAAGATGGTTCCTAAGAGTTTCTGTTTCATATTTCATGCTTGGCCACGCAAAGTTTTGTTTTGAATTTCATGTAAATGTCCTAGCTCCACTGCTGTTGTTCCCCTAACTTGTGTTTAGAACAWTTTTTCTCTTTATTCAGCCTCATTTAAATCATTACCAATTTTAATGTTACACTTCTTTTCAGCTTATAAGGTTGGTTACACAGAATATTGTCTAATCACTGTTAGTGAACACAAAAAAAATATAATGTCAGTTTGTAGTTAGCCTGGTTACTGAGCACAATTTCCAATTGAAACATGATTAACTTGATTCTGATGTCATTCCTATGTTTGTTTTCCCATTTCAGTGTTAAATGAAATGTAGTGTTCTTTTTTACCTCTACCTCCTTGGTGCATATTTGCGCTGAGGTGTTCATACGCTTCATTATGGGTCTGTAAAAGGAAACCAACAACATAACATCAAATGACATTTCAGTAAACCACTGTTATTTTTTAATGTCCTCATAATAACCTCATCAGTGTCAGAATAGGATCCGGGTGTGACGCTGCTGATGTGTCTTGGTGGTGAGTYAAGATYTTCTTCTTCCCAGATAAGAACCTGGCAGGAACTCGCAACCAGCTCCTTGTTKACTTTACCATCRCCTTGGAAGTAARGCAGAGCACCTGCTCCATCAAAAACCAAAGTGTCTTTTGTCAGACTGGTCAGAGRAGACCTTAAGGCCTGCAGGGCCTCYTGAACCCGACAACGAGGACCAGARAACAGCACACAAGGGTTTGGAAAATGGGAAGCTTTCAAAGTCACATCTGTCTGCTTCATCCCAYTCATTTGTAGGATTTTATCAAAGCTGTCCACCAGTTCAGGAAACTCCAGGTTCAGGACCTCTTGAGTTGAAACTTGATTAATCTGGAAATCATGAAGTAGATCTTTAAGCCTGTAGACCAGTCTAGAGTAGCCCACCAGTTGGACCTTGGTTGCTGGAGTTCCAGCGGAAGCAGAAATGAAGTGAACCTCCACTCTGGGCTCACTACAGTTCACCTGGCTCTTGGCTCTGTTGAGCATTTCTTTCAGTCGGTCCAGGTCTGGAGGAGCAGCTGCAGCACCTTGAAGCTGTACACTGACCATAATCAGATCTCTCAGCACGGCTGCTTCAGCTTCGTCCAGGGCACTGAGGGACAAACTGGACAGAACCAGGTCTGACCCGACCTCCAGAGTAACAGGACTTCTGAGACTCTGGAAGCACTTGGAGACGATGCCACAGGTTGTCATGAAGGATAATAAATCTGGATGAAGTTGAACTCTCTTTTCTCTGATCTTCTTGATCAGTTCGTCAAGTTTTGCAGCTCCTGGTTGGACCTGGTCATCAGGACCTTCTAAYGTGATGATGTTGGTTCCCCTGGTGACWTTGACTTCTGGATATTGTGCYTTCATCTCTCGACTGAACTCATCTTCAACGAGTTTGAAATGATTGTCCACAACTGGCAGCACCTTACAGGATGGCAGGCGTCTTTCCAGGATTGCAATCTTCTCCTTCACAGCTTCAGTCTCCCCCACCACCACWACATAACAGCTYTCTGGATACACTCTTATATCATCAMTAACAAAGGAGCAATCCTGCTGTATTTGTTTGACTTGTATTGGATCCAGCACATGATGGCAGAGGTAGTTCTCAATGTGACTGATGAAGATTCGATCCACCTGCAGCTCCCACTTTTCCACAGCAGCCTTGAAACCTCTTGCATCCCACTTCTCACGATCCCCTCTTACCACAACCTCTTTTTCATCAAAAATTAACTCCAACGTGCAACTAATTGAAGAGAGCTGCTTTTGTATGGGTTTGAAAGCTTTAGGGTTGTCTTGCAGGTAGAGCAGGAGGAATATATTCATTTTGAAGACTTTCTCAAGATGTTTTGTGTTTGGTTGAGTCTGAAAAATGATGAGTTTGTTTAATTTAAGAGGTAACAGAGTGTTCCATATTTGTTTACATTTTATATTGATCTGCCTTAATTCCTGTACAAATTAAATAWYYA